AAAGCAAACTTAGGGCGTCGTACTCGTAGCGCCATCTGTTGGACATAAAAGCCTTAACCTAGATTATATATTTTAATTTATATGAATGTTTAACGGAATAATATACAGCCTATGTCCACCCTGAGGTTCCATTTTAAATATTGGTGAAAGAATTTTTGAAATCGGATGAGTAGTTTCGGAGATTACCTGCTGCAACGAAACTTACATACAAACATTACCTCTTTATATATTAGTATAGATTACTAATCAACCCCCACTCTAAAGTAATTGCCTATGCCGATGACATCAAAATTTTATCCAATGATCCCTCCTCTCTTCAGATCACTGTCAATTCTTTACGTTCTAATCTTGCCAGTTATAATCTAAAAATCAACATCCATAAAACTGTCATTATGTGTTTTTCTCTACTTTGCAATCCTTACCACCCTTCCGTATTTATTGATTCTTCTAAAATAAACTATGTCCACCCTCATTGTGACCTTGGTATCATATTTGATGAAAAATTAATATTCCATGATCATATCTCTTACATTATTAAATCTCTTGCAATTAGATGTGGCTTTATCTGGCATTTTTGCAAAAATATCTCTTCAAAGACCATACTCAGAACAATTTTCTTTGCTAATTTTCAATCAATAGTCGATTATTGTTTACCAGTCTGGGCCATGGCTGCACTTTTATCCGATTCAAAAAATACAATCTGAATTAAATAAGGTTTATTTTCTGATACACAAATTCTGCAATTTACCCTTTACTGACAACCGTGATGTGGCAAGAGTTTGCCTTGGTCTTCCAAATCTTTCTGATCGCTTAAAATATTTTGACTGCATTCTCTGCTTTAAATTCTTCAATGGTCTAATTTTAAATTACTGGCTAGGTCTCCGCATACCTACTGTAAGAACCCATAATACATCATGCTTCTTCATCCCATTTTTTCGTCTTTCTCTTTCGCAAAGATCTTGTTTTTTACCATTTAGCATCTCACATACAGCCTGTTGAACCTTACCTATATCGTGATTTTAATTTTTTTAAAAATAAATGTAAATCTATTTTATATAATATATAATNATTATCATTTTCTATGATACATTTAAAAAAGTAACAATAAAATTAAATTGTTATAAATCTTATAATATTAAATTTGAAATGACAGTGAGCAGTATATGACGAGCATAATTTGTATTATGGAATTCAGTTATACATTTGAAAATAGACAATGTCTTTTGGAAAGCTTTAATGTTTCATATATAATTCAAAGAAAAATTTTTAAAAGTTAAGTGAAGAAAGAATGCTGAAATATCTCAGTAAAACATTTTTTATTAAAATTGAATAGCTAGCTTGTATCAAATATCATTTTAAGATGTATTAGTGATTAAGTTAAACAGAATTTGAGTTTAATTATTCAAAATCTGAATTTAGTTTTACATTATTCATTTTTTTAATTCTTACGTAGATAGTTGAACTGCTATATAACAAATTGCCTCCAATGGATAGAACAAACATATATCCTGTAATAAATATAAATAATAAATGGATAGAAAGTTGAAATTTTTAAGGATTCTGTACTATCTTCCATAAAATTCTGCAAAGACATTAACCTTGTAGAATATTATATGGAAGTAATACAGAAAATTCGTTAAATGGAAAATTCACCCTAAAAAAGATGTATTTTTAACATTCTATAGAAAAATTCATTGAGAAATTTATTATGTACAGCTTCACAATAGGGAAGTCTAACTATGCTTGAAAATGTTATATAAAATCAAATTTAAAAATTATGAGTTAAAATATTAAATTTAATTTTCTGCATGTTAGTTGACTTTTATATTAACAACAAATATTTTATTATATTATTAAAAATTTTTTATTTCATTTATTATATAATTTTTATAAAGATTTTTTTATAAGCTTATTAATTTTTATATTATTTTTATATTAGAAGTTTTAACTCCAATTGTTACATCAAGAGCTTCATTGAAATATTGGAAAAAACCTCCAAATTTGAAAGGTAAAAGATTATAAATTTCTATTTGAGCAACTTTTATATAAATAAAGTTTCTTTTAATTAATTGTATAAAAAATTAAGGACCAAAAAATATGATTAAAAATAATGTTAACAAAATTAACTGAACTAAATGAAAAAATTATTGAATAACTAAAATTATTTTGTATAAACAGTAAAATCACATACTTGTGACTAGTTTTTTCTTATATGTTTTATGTTGAATACAATTTAAAATGTTTATTAATAAACATTTTAAATTGTATTTTAGAATATTATGGATACAATGGAAAAATATTGCAAAGTTTTGACTAATTAATAGATTTTTTCAGAATAAAAATTTGTAAATTGTTATATTACAGTGTAATATATATTTGATACAGTAATTTATAACTATAATTTATTATTAAAATTCATATTTAAATGATTATTCTACTTTATGTTTCACAAATTAACATATCATGACAATCATATCATAATACATATTTATTATTAATTAACAAATTAACATATCATGAATATTAAAATAACATGAAATTTTATCAACCTGTCTTTAAGACAAGGAAATTTATTAACATATGTTACAAATTTGTATTGTAAATATTTATACTATAATTGAAAAACCAAAATATTAAAATTTTGTGATTTGATAATTGTTTATATATAGCTTAATCACATTTATGGTTTTACTAATGTAATACATTGATAAGTATTTATAATGTCATTTTGTTCATAATTTGAATCTTTTTCTATTCTGTTAGCAGAAAGAGGATAAGTTTTAATCATACTCATTGTGGACTTGGCTAGATTAACGATCAAAGTGGTTGAGTGGTCAGGGATGGGATCTAACAAATTCAGTAAAGACCACCCATAAAAAATTCCTGAGGTTGCTTAGATTTGATGCTGAGTTTTCCACAGCAAAAGCCTGATAGGGGTTACTAGTTAGTTTTTTTTCAAGAAGTCAGTCTTCAGACAATTTTTCCATGACAGTTCTTCCTCAGACAGTTTACTCAAGAGTTTCTTCAAATGATTCTTCTCTCCAAAAGTTTTTTCCACACAGTTTTTTACCATAGATTGATATTTTTCTCTGAATTGAATTTTTCTCTAAAATATTATTTTCCTAAATAATTTTTTACAACGTTATCTGTTTAAAGACATATAAATGTAAGTTTCTGAAACAACAAATTGGTATTTTCTGTATATATGACTCTATTATATTCCATTTCAGAATTATACAGATTATATCAAAAATAGTGATCACTTAAAAATATTTTTGAGAGAGAGTTTTTGTGTTGAAGATTTTAACACAAGTTTTAACACAATTTTTTTGCATGATACGAGCAAAGACGTTCATATTATTACAATTTTATCAAAGTATATAATTTACACCACCTCATATTACAAGATTCTATTTAATTAATACAATCGAGTCTCTCTATTTTTTTGGAGACACTCGTTTTGTTTAGTCATCATTTGTAGAACTTATCTGCAGTGCAATACTTTTTGTAATCTACATGTTCAACAAAATGGAATCGTCCAGCATCGTTATCTCTCATCATTAATGGTATCGTCCATACGGATTTATTCTGCAACCTGCACTGCACTCTGTTTTAACATAATATTTTTGCATGCCATGGGCAAAGATGTTCATATTTTCACAATTTTGTTAACGTATATATTTTACATTATTTCAGGTATTTATATTTTGTTTTTATTGTATTTAATATACATTTCTATTTCTTAATACAGTTTTATTTTAATTGTGTGTTGCTTGTGATATATGCAAGCTCAGTCTATCTAATTTATATAATAATATATTGATTTATCTATTGTTAGTTTATACATTTTTTGATAGTTTCTCATCACCTTCATCTTTGTTCATAGCACATGTTTTTTTATTTATTTATTTATTTCTCTCCTATAACGTATTCAACAAAAATCTTAAAATTTTTGTCCAAAACGTCAGGTCCATTAATAACAAATACATGTTTCTTGCCTCGATTCTAAATGATTTTTATGATTTATTTATATTAACAGAAAGTTGGCTTACTCCAAACTTTGATGATGTGTTGAATTTTATTAACAGTTTGGGTTATTCACATATTGCTTTATCTTGTAATATTCAACGCGGTGGTGGAATCCTTTTGATTTTTTCCCCTTGCTCAAACCTGTAAAAGTATTTGAATATCTTGATTCTATCCTTTCCGTCAAACTTTCTGTTTATAATCTAACAGTCATTTTGATATACGTCCCCCCATAATAAAAGAGATTCCATTTTTAAAACTTTACATAGATATCTTATTTCTCTTTCTGAATCCCAAAATATTAAAATTATCTTATGCGGAGACTTCAATATGTGTAACATCTCTTAGAATTCTAATGGCCCATATTATTCCTCCCTTGACACAATTGAACAATTTTTCCTTAATGAAATATTCTATTTTTTCCAACTTAAACAGGTAATCCTTTTTCCATCTCGTATTAATAACTTTCTTGATCTTGCTTTTACCTATAATTGTGTTGTATCAACCAGTTACGGTCAGGGGTTCAAATCTGACCATAATGCAATATGTTTAGATGTCTTATTAAATACCAATAAACAGCAATCTGCCAAATACATTAATATTCCAATTTGGGTCTCATTCAATGGAATGGAGGCCTCAAAAATCCTTTGCTCCATTGACTGGACCTTCCTCAACTCGTCTATTTCTCCTCAGAAACTTACTGATAAAATTTACAACTTGTTTCTGCCACTATTAAAAAATTATTACAATTCCGTAAAATAAATTCTTCAGCCAATAGATGGTTTCCTCTACACTTAAAGAAATTATCCAATATGGTCAGAAAACAATGGAGCAAATGGAAATGTTATGGTAACCCTCGTGACTTATACTTACATAGAATATTGCAACAACGTTATTACCAGGAACATCGTATTGCTTTTCTAGAATATTTTAACAGAACTGT